CCGATACCAATGCCATGCCAATATCGTGCATCCCCCGTTAGACTTGTATTTTCTGAGCTTTATCTGTTTAAAAAAAAAAAAATGTATTCAACAGGTAATATCAATATTACATACGCAGTGGTTTTACTATTTTTGGGCAGCTTTTGTTTTAAACCTCAAATACTAATTGCTCTCCAGTTCAACTAATGCAGGTCAAAGGTTAAAAAACAGACTAAATTTATTCATTAGGACATTCTTCTTGCTGTAAAACACTAATGAAAAGAGCCCCACCCTGTGTGGTTAGGGATCCACTGCAAATCAATGTGATCAATTTCCAGAACCGTCCACTATGACGTCAGTTTTGTCTGTAATTGTTAGGGAACCGTTTCAGTGAAAGATAAACAAAAAAAATTCAAATTATAAGACTGAATTTTCTGATTTTGTGTGTAAACTTTGGATTAAACAAAGCCTTATTGTTAATAGCAATTGGATTGACCTGAACTCACATGATTTCTTAGTGTTTGGATTTATTATGTTAAGTTGGTCAAAATAAAAGTTATGCTTACATTTAACAGATCACTGGTGCACACACATTTTGGTTTTGCTCATTTATTTTCTAAATAAAATGAACAATCCCACAGTTTGTGTTTCCTTCTTTGGATTTTTATTGTACGCTAGTCTTTATGTCAGAAATGGCACATTTCTTACGGGATAGCATCCATTTCTTGCTAATGATTTGGATTAACCTTTTACAAATACCTGCTTCTGGTTTCTGTGGTTTTTAATACAAAACAGGTTACTGCTTTCTATCATAGACGGTGTCATTTAATGAGAGGCACTTACATTAAACTCAAGCACAATTAGGTGTTTTATGACAACCTCAGGAGTAAAATTAATCTCTCAAATGAAATTGGTCTCAGTTCTCAGTATGCGACCCAGTGGGACGCACCTTCATTTCTATTCATTGACCCTCCACAAATTAAAGCTCGTTTCCTGAGCTTGCAGCTTTGTGGTTGCTCCCGCAGCGGGATGCAGGCTTTCAGCAGAAGCAGATCAGAAAACCTTCCCCTCTTACCATTTGATTCGAGGATTAGATCTGATTACAGATTGGAGATGGACAACCTCTGCGACAGCCGTGCAATCTTCTTTTCTCCTCTTGTTAAATTTACATAAAGTTGATGAGATTTTGGCTCGGGATTCCTTCGATTCTCCCATTCCACGAGCATAACAGGAACGTGTATTATCAGCAGCCGGTGCTTGAAATGGCCAACAACTGGAACTGATAGCTTTAAAAAATCCTTTAAAAATGACATTCAGCTCTTGTCATTCGTCTGCAGCTGTCCACGAACAATACACAGTTTTATTCTTCACACCTTGTCATAAATGTCATGTTTCTGTCTAGTAAAATGATCAACAACAAGACAAATACATGTTCTTACCTTTGAGCTTTGGTGGAAGTGTATTGTGTGTGTAGTAAACATAGTTCTGAAAGCAGCTCTGCGATGAGGACAAAAAAACACAACCAACGTCCTGACTTAGTCCACGTCTACTGAAGGACACAGCAATAAAAAAAAACAAGCAATACATGTTTCTTTTCTGTAGCGTAGTCATGAAAATATCTGTTTTTATACAAAAATTAAATACAGATACAGTATGTTACAACTTTTTTCGGATATGGGTGAGCTCAAGCAGGACTATAAAGCCTCTGTAAAATAAAAGTTATACTGGACTGGCTCTTGTCAGAGGGAATTTATAATACATGTGCAGCATTTGGCAAAACAACGGACACCTTTCAGCAAAATAAAGTCACCAGGTTCACTAAAGCGTAGGGAGAGGAAAGTGAGGGAAAGAAGGGGAGGAGCAGAAGGAGGGAGGCAGTGAGGAATATATTTTTTAAAGATGTCCCTCTGATCATTAATATTCTACACGAACTTCAGATGATTCTTAGAAATTATGTCTAGTTTTTTTTTACCGTTCGTCATCAGAAAGTGGCTCATTCTGATCTGAGCTGAACCTCCAGTCTCTTTTTGATGAGATATTAGACAATATTATCACAAAGCGGGGGCGCCTACAGTGTTCATTTTCCTCGTGACGTTACAAAACAACAGCGTCTTCACCAAGTCTTTTATAAATCTCTCTACCGTTCAGCATGACACATCAGTGCACAATCCACTGCACTATTTTTATTGTCGCCCATGCACCGCCATGGCCTTGGATATACAAAAGAGTTGCTTATATTGTATGCTGAGCGCAACACATTCTTTGTTTTTATTTTTCTTTATCCGTAAGGTTGAAAGTTCAGTCTCAGCATTTGTGGTTTCAGTTGAGGATTTGGTTCTGGGACTCTCAGCAAAGCGAAACAATTGAAAGCGCGATCGCTACAAGAGAAAGAAAAAGCCGGTGGCCTATGGGGCGATGATGGAGCCCTGCCCGTCCAGACAGCTGGTCATCACACTCTCCGGGACCCTGGCAGCGAGCTCTCTCGCACAGGACGCCTGTGAAGCCGGGGGCACAGTGGCACCGCTGATGGTGGTGGCACGTGCCGCCATTCTGACAGCGCAGCATCGCGTTGTCGCACACCCGAGCTGCAGACACAAAACAGAAAGGGCAGCGGAGACAGGAAGGCGTGATTAATAGATCGCTCGGTGAAAGGGTCAGCAGAGAACATCAACAGGCAGGTTCACAGGACACGAGCTGCCTCCATCCTGCCCTGTCTGCATCACTCTGTACCCCCACAGCACAGAGAGGGTGAAACCAAGGACACCAAACAGATTTGGAACAGGAAGGAGGTGGATAATCAGGACACACAACAAAGGGCAAAAAAAGTGTATTTAATATATAAAAATGAAAAAAAAACTTGAATGATTGCAACAGAAAACAGACATTTTAAGAATTTATTATTAATATTTTTTAATAAATAACTTCAGGGAAATTCCTCTTGGTCATACAAAGCAACAAAGCAGAGCAATGAATAAATTTAATCAACGATGCATTTTAACCAGAGAATTTACATTTCCTGCGAAAATGCAGAGTGAATGCTTATTGCAGAAGAACTTGCTGAAAAACAGCTGAAATTAGCTAAAAATACATGCTGAAATAGAAGAACAAGCCTACATTAGCGGAAGAAAGCGGAAAGAAACATACTTGGTGAATTAGGTTTAAAGAAGCAGAAATTTGCACAAAAATTGGGAAATTAGCCAAAAAAAAACCCCGAAAAGAAGCTGAAATAAAAAATTGCTGAAAAGTAGATGAAAAGGCAGAAATAAGCTTAAATTGCCAGAAGGAAACTGAAAGAACTGAAATGAGCTAAATACATATGGAATTGGCTGATAAAGCTAAAATTTGCATCAAAAGAGCTAAATAGCAGCTGAAAGAGCAGAAAAAGCTGAAAGGAGCATAACAAGCTGAAATTAGCAGAAAGAAGTTAATTAGGCAGAAAGTAGCAAAAATTACCATGAAAAACTTGAATTTATCTGAAAACATTTTCATTCAACCTTTATTTATACAGGTTAGCCTCATTGAGCCACGAGGACTCCTTTACAAGAGGGACCTGTTCCAGACGGAACATATAAAGTACAGATAACAGTAAACAATGACAACAACGTACTCATATTTATTTATATACTTATACAATTTGTACTTGTACTTATACATGTAAATAAATGTCTAAAAAAACCTTTAATATATGTAAATAGTTTATTTTTTAGACATTTATTTTGAACAGTGACAGCTGTTTGTTAAAGCTTTGTCCCAGTTGTCACACAGGCACATTTATTAACTCAGAAATATATTTTTGTTGTTACTTTATGGAAAGAAAAATATATCAAGAGATATATCGTATACCATGATTTATTTTAAAATATTGAGATATTCATTTTGGTCCATATATAAAACAGCTGAAATTTGGTTAAAAAAAAAGAAAAGGCTAAAAATTAGCTGAAAAGGTAGAACAAATAAAGCAGAAAAAAGCAGAAAGAACATGTTTGCCCAGTTAGGCTGAAATAAGCAGAAATGAACACAAAAAAAATGAAAATTATCTGGAAAAAAGCTGAACTTAGCAAAACAAACAAACAAAAAAAAAAAAAACCCTGCAGAAAATAGCTAAAAAAGCAGAAAGAAGCTTAAATGACCAGAAACAAGTGGAGAGCGCACACTTTTGCGTAGTTAGGCTGAAAAAGTTGAAATAAGTGCAAAAATATGGAATTAGCAGAAAAAGCTAAAATTAGCATAACAACTTCTAAATAGTAGCTGAAATAGCAGAAAAAGCTGAAACTTGCAGAAATAACCTGAAAGGAGAATAACAAGCTGAAATTAGCATAAAGAAGTTAGAAGAAGTACAAAAATGTTGTAGTTAGCAGAAATAATCTTAAAGAAGCACAAAACAGCTGAAAAACAACTTAAATTAGCTGAAAGTAGCTGAAAAAATGTTCAAATTTGCACAAGGAAGCTGAACCTGAACAAAATGTGAAAGGAGCAGTAAAAGGTTGTAAACAGATCTAAACATCTGAAGGATGTAAAATGAGATCAATTCATTTTCTGAGAGGAAAAAAAAGGCAGAAAAGGCTAAATATTTCAAAAAGCTAAAGTCGTACCAATACCAAAAATCTTAGCACCCTTCTCCTGAATGAGCTGAATGTGTTTGACATATGATTTCATGAAATTGCACAAAAATTGTGGAACGATAAAGATGCCGAAAAACTTACGAAAGAAAATGGATCACAGTGTGAATGCTTCATAAACAATCAAAACGGTGTGAACCAGGAACCTCTTATTTCAGTGGCCACCAAATACTGCTTTATTTGAACGTATTGTGATTAGGAAAACATAAGATCATATTCACATTTCCAGATAAAAACTCACGACTCAATTATCCCAAGAAGCCTTTCTATTGGCAGAGGTGAAATCCAGAAAGAGGTAATATTTGCACAGAGATTTCAGTGAAATTGGATCTCTCCGCCTGCATAAATAGTAATCACATTTTTGGTTTTCAGTAATGTGGCTCATGCATCTGAATAAACTGAACAAATAATAATTTCCCATGCCAAAATTGATTAAGAATGTGTTGGCGTTGCATCTAACTTAATCAATTCCTTCCTGTTTCCCTGAGTCATTGTTGCCGTTATGGGTTTAGCTGAAAATTCCACCTTTTGTTGTTTATGCATGTGATCGATGCATTTTCTTATTTTTATGTGCACATTGAAATATTAATAAGGATGCAGCCTTATGGGAAAATACCACAGCACTTCCAGTCAGTCAAACTCCTTACTTAAAATGCATCATGCTGCTGAGTGACAGATTCTTCTGTGTTTCTCCTATCACTGGCGCTAAAATAACGAGTCTGGCAAAACATCTTTTCACAAGAAACTGACCCCAAAACCTGACACTGATATTTTAGACAGATTACAGCATTTTCTACCAAACGTCTAAACTTTTCACAGAAGTATTCCAGGGTTGGGATTGAAATCAGGAAAAAATAAATCACCAGCAATGATACAAAAGCTAATCACAAATGAGCTACTTGTTTGCATGAAAGATGGTCGATGAGGATTGATAAAATATTTTTGAATGCGTTCGAGGCACTGAATGAAACTAACCTGTCTAAATAAAAGATGAAATGAATCGAATGTTACTGATGGTGACTTCCTTCTCTTTTATTGTCTGCCTGATAGAACAAGGGAGCATCTTTACATATTTGATAGAGATACTATGCAAATTTTGCTCAAATTGAAGTTAGAAGCTAGCTTAGACTGCTCGTAAAACATTGCTATTGTCATTTTAATATTCTGAGATATTGTTGAAGTGTAAACAAATCACATTACTTCTGCACGTTTTTCAACATCTTTCTTGTTCCACAATGTTTGTGCTATTTCAACAAATCATGTATCAATATGTTCAGCTCTTTCATGAGAAGGGTAGGACTTTTGGTATTGGTGCATCTTTAGCTTTTTGAAATGTTTTGCCTTTTCTTAATTTTTTTTTTCATAGCTCATTTTACATCCTTCACATCTTTAGATCTATTTACAACCTTTTACTGCTCCTTTCACATTTTTTGTTCCAGTTCAGCCTCTTTGTGCCTTCTTTCAGCTACTTTCATCTAATTTTACTGATCTTTCAGCTGTTTTGTGCTCCTTTCTGATTCTTTCTTATCTTGTGCTTCATCTAACTTCTAACTGCTAATTTCAAGTTATGCTCCTTTCAGCTTATCCTTGCATGTTTCCTTTATTTCAGCTACTATTTAGCAATTTTATTCTAAGCTAATTGCGCAATATTTGCACTCATTTAAACTATTTTCAGCTTAATTCAACAAAAATGTGCTCGCTACACTTCTGTCTGGTAATTTAAGATTGTTTCTGAATTTTTTAGCTACTATTCAGCTGCTTTTAGCAAAATTCTGCTTTTTTCAGATAATCTCCACTTTTTTGTGCTCGTTTTTGCTGCTTTACGCCTAACTAGGCACAATAGTACTCTCTCCACTTTCTTCTGGTAATTTAAGCTTCTTTCTGCCTTTTCAATTATTGTTCAGCTATATTTTTGCTAATTTCAGCTTTTTTAGCAAACTTACCATGTTTTGTGCTAATTTCTACTTATTTAAAGCAAATTCAGCAAACATGCTTTTTCTGCTTTCCTCTGCTAACAGGTTCTTCAATTTCAGCTACATTTCAGCATGTTTATAGCTAATTTCAGCTGTTTTTCCAGCAATTTCTTCAGCAATAAGCATTCAGACTGTATTTTCGCTGGAAATGCAGTTTCTCTGGTACTTCTTGACTGCCTGGAGTTACGTTGCTGCCTTGTCTCAAACCTACTGAAACTGTACTTGTCTTGGCAGAGCAATCTCAGATTTGATTTCAGGACTAGTCAAGACTGTTTCAGTAGGAATACCATTAAACTGCCTGTTCCTTGTCTGATTGTAAAAACTCCCCATTTTAAGTTTGTCCAGCTTGTAACTCAGTTCTCAGCCACATCAAACACACTTGGAAGTAATTGAAGGAGCCAAGAGATGAACAGAGACTGTCAGAGATCTTGTCAGTTTTGACAATCTTGCTGAGCTTTTCGGAAACCCTTTAGGTTTTAAAAGGTCTTACGTTGGTCTCAACCCCTACAAGTCTTGATCTCAGTCTCACTATATGCTAATCATGGTCTTGTCTTGCTCCTGAGCCCATAAAGTCTGGGACTTGTCACAGTCTTGAGACACGTTGGATTTTGTTTTAGTGTTCTTGACAAGATTAAAGCAGATGTCAGAATTTACAACCCCAGGGATATCAGCCTCCCAAATTATTGATCTGTGCACCTCACGATCATTAAAATCTGAAGGGTTCTTTATTTTCACGAATGAATGAAGAAGGAAGATGACAGAGAAGTTTTATAAGATAAAGATTAAAGGTCAGTAGCTATGTTTACATGCACAAAATTCTTTGATCGGATTGAAACATATTTGTATTAAATAATCTGAATGTATCATTTACATGGGCACAATTCGATAATAATGAGCATTTACATGCAGCAGACTTTTATTCAGAATAGAAGTACTGACATGCACAAAGTGGTAAACTTCCCTTAAAAATGTTCTACTTCCATCATGATCGTA